TGACAGTCTACGGTTATTCAGACTTTAGTGCTTAACCATCTAAAAAATGAACAAAGTGCACATATGACAAAAAGAAAACAACTGACAGCCTCTGGCCAATGACAAAATCTGAGATTTCAAGTGAAAAAAATAGAATTTTAGAAGACTTGTATCCATCACCATGAGCTTGACAATTCCTAACACTTTCTGATAAAATGGATAGTGAGGTATGCAAATGTGGAGGTTTTCTAGATATTGTATCACAGATGTGTCAACATTTGGAAAGACCTGCTTAATGTAGTGAATCAGTATTCTCCAAATGGCCACTGTGTGATGTTCCACCATCATGTCTGGGAAAAGATCCACACGAAGTGGCAGACGAGCCACTGGAATTAAACAGAGTGGAGTGGGAGATGCTCACTGAAACAGACCCAGATTCCACAGGGAAGCTCAAATCTATGAAACTATCACTTGAGTTTTGGTGCAGTTTCAAAGAAATAGTAGTCCCAATAATCTGCAAACACTATTAAAAAACTTTCTTTTCCAAATACATATCTGTATGAGCCAGATTGTCCTCAAATACTTCAGCCAAAACATGTTTGTGATGGTTAATTTTATGCATCAGCCTCACTGGGCCATGGGAAGACCAATTATCGGGTTAAACATGAGGTGAGATGCCCCTGGGAGGGTGTTTCTGGATAAGATTACTATTGGAATCTGTAGACCAAGTGAAGCAAACTGCCTTCCCGAATGCTGGCTGGGCTCATCCAGTCCACTAAGAACCTAAATAGAATAAAAGGTAGAGCAACAAAGAATTCTCTCTCTTTGCCTGTCTTCAAGCAGGAACATCAGTCTCCTACTTACGGACTTGGACTCGACCAAAACTACACATTGTCTCACCTGGGTCTCCAATGTACCAACTGAAGACCTAGGCGCTGCTTAGCCTAAGTAACTGTGGGAGCCAATGCCTGACAATAAATCTCTTTATCTGTGCACACCCTATTGTTTTTGTTTCTCAAGAGAACTGTACCTAATATAATACTGCACCAGGCTGAATGCAGAAGCAGACAGGAGGAGCCAGCCTCTCTATTAAGTAACACATCACAGAAGTGGAAAACGTATATAAATATACACAACCACCTTTCTTATTGCATGTAATGAACAGAACATAAAGGTATCAGAGATTCCTTTCTTCCATAAAAAAAATAATAAGTTACCAAAGCAATAGAAAAAGAAAAAAATTATATATCCACAAATAAATTACTGGGTGGATACTGGAAAATCATGATTTCTAAAAATCTAATATATGACAATGCTTATAATAGGCAAGGTGAAATATATAAAACCATGAATGGTCCCAAATAAACTCTGTAAAAACAGACGTGTATGACAGGCTCACCCACACATGAGAATTCAGCATAGGAGAGAGATGTCATCACAGCTCAGTTGAGATGTGATTGACCACTTAATAAATCATGCTGGGAAAACTGGCTCACTCAGAAAAATAAAAGGAATCACATGAATTTCAGATGAATCAACCAAGAAACTGGGTCAAAACTGAAAAAGCAAGAAGAAAGGAATATTAGAATAAAATATTATAGAACATCCTTACGGCCATGGAGAAAGGAAGACATTCTTAAGTAAGGAAAAAAATCAGAAATTAAATGCAATGATGTGGTAGAGATGAACAAGCCAAACCCTAAAACTGTCACAGGATGACTGCTCCACGAACAAAATCAGACATAACAATGGCCTGGGATAATTGCAACCTGTAAGGTGGAATGATGAGAAATGGACATTTCCATAGGTCAAAACCCATCAAAAATTGGCAAAGGTTCCACCTAATGGAAAAAAGATGAACATTTATAATGTAATGAATTCTTAGAAATCAAGCAGAAAAAAATCTTATTTTCAAATGAGCAAAGGGTTTATGAATTAGGTTATGAAATAAACATTACAGACATCTTCTCTTTATCTTTTTGACTGAAAAGTATAATAAAGGGAGATGCCACTTTTCACCCATCCATCGACTTGCAGAAGTGAAAAGCTGAAAAGCGGCAAGAAGTTGCTGGTGGAATAGGAGCCACAGGCCAGGCTTGGCTTGGCTAAGTGCTTCCCGTCAGGAACCTGTCCTTTCTCCATGTGTGGCACATGCATTTCTCATTGGTTTTCTGGGACAATGACACAACACCCAGCATGCTTGCATGCTGTCTCTGCCACCAAGGGTCTGGTGCCGCATGTGATCTCCCTTGTCACGTGGGCGTCTCCAAAGCCATGGTAAGAATCCTGGCCCCCACAGCAGCTGCCCAGAGCATCCGGCTCCTAAACGCCCCACATTCTCACTAGTCCTCTTGGATATGCCCCTTCTTCCGGTGTCTCCAGGAGCCTGGGGACAGTCTGTCCACAGGCTTGTCAGACCTTTTACACGGCACTCTTCACATATTTACCAAATGAGAGACAAGCCCCTGGGAGTCCCCTCTGCTTCTCATGTGTCCACCAGCCTCTCTGTGCCCCCAGTAACTGGCTACAAGAGACAGGAGGGGACCAGACACCCACAGCAGAGGGTGGCCTGTCCAAGGCCACATTCACCAAATGGCCACATTACTGTGACTGGCAGGTCCTGGGGGTCACCAGCACAAAGCGAGTGCTGACACATATACCTACAGATCTGCCATCCACCCCAAGTCTTTACCTAAATCACTTAGTATACTGTAGACTGAGTTCTCCCGGACAGGACGTCCCTGGACAGGAGCTCCTCATGCACAGACACAGGTTTCTCATCTTTTTTTCTAGCAGGTGCTCACTGTGCATTTGGCTAACAAAGGGAAAGCTCATCGTCAAATCTCCCTTCCAAAGCCCCCTCAGTGCCATCTCTCAGCATCCTTTCTGCTCCCTCTTTACAGCATTCCCTGCTTTCTGCCACTCCCTCCCATCCCAGCCTGCTCTCCTGCTCCACTCCCCCAGCAGCAGCTCTCCATTGTTTGGAGCCTGCATCCTCCGGGCTCCACCCCCAACTGAGTCAAGTCCCCAGTACCCACAGCTCTCACCAGCCACTCAGTACCGGAGCACTCAGACCCCGAGTAGGTGCTTCCACTGGCTCACCAGAAATGTGACCAGGCTGGTCTGTAGAAGTGTTACCAGTGGGAACTGACATGGGTGCCTCCCCAGGCCAAAGCAGTGATGTGGGATCCCTTGTTTCCTATTAAAGTCCTTCCAACCAGGATGCATATTTGCTGCCGGCATTTAATCAGAAAGCAAAAAGGTGGCACCCTTTGCAAGTCCAGTGTCTCTCACCTAGCATGCTGAGCAGCATTCAGACCCACATCTGGCTGGCTCTCAGCTTCTCATAGGAGTGTAATGCAAGCCACGTAAATAATTATAAATTAATTTTGCTAGTAGATTCATTTGACCTAATATAGCTGAAATATTACCATTTCACCTGTAATCATTATTCAAACAACTGTTTATAAAATACTTCACATCATTTTGCCACACCACGCCTCTGGAATCCAGTGTGTTCTGCACACCCAGCTTGGACCAGCCACATTTCACATGCCCAAGAGCCACCACATGCAGCTGGTGGCTGGGGTTGGATGGCACAGCCACAGCTCAGGATTTCAACTGCTATGTCACAGAGTTCACACTAAAAAAAACTCAGAAAAATACTGGTAACAACTGTAACTTACTGCATATCTATTCTGAGTAAGGCACCATGATAAGATCTTTACAGAAATTACCATATTCCATCCTCATAAACTATATGCTGAGCACTCTTGACACCTCAGATTTGCTTTAGTAAGAAGGAAATGTTTATGATTCTTGTTAAAAGCACAGATAGACTAACAGACTTTGGAGGTGTTCAAATGAGGAAAGCCAACCTCCTGATCACAAGGAACAAGAACAGCACCTGAGGCCACATTCTGACTTAAGAGCTTTTCTAGCCCACATGAGGAGCATGCTGTGAGGCTCCTGAGCCATTGCGTGGGGTGTGCATCCACATGTGTGATGTCTGCGTATGTTTGCACATGCATGTGTGTGCTGTGTCTCTGTGCACATGTGTGCATATATTCAGGTGCTGGTGGGTGGCAGAGCCATGGGGAGGAGGCCTGGCAGGGGATCCACGCTCAATGCTCACACCCAACACTGAATTTTCTACCCCAGGGCACAGTTCCTCTGGAGCCCCAGCCCTGTCACACAGGCTGCCTTCAGGGAGAATGTGAGGGGCTATGTGCTCAGAGGAGCAGGGAAAGCCTCAATGTGCTGTGACCCCAAAATAGAGAAGAAATCCTGGGGGGTCACGTGGTCACGGATTTCTGGCAGCCCCCACGAGGCAGTAGCCGGGCAGAGAGCATCGTCAGCACTGTCTGTGTAGAGGCCCCTCAGAGGAAGGACCACTCCCACTCTTGGGGCCTTTAACTGCAAAAGAGACCCTGAGAGGCTTTGAGGCACGCCCTCACCCCACAAAAGTCTGACCATCTGCCTCTCACAGCAGCCTCCAAGCAGCTCTCAGGAGCCTGTGGCCAGGGTCCCCAGGATGTGGAGTCAAGAGACAACTCCATCGAGAATAAAATGCCACAGAGCAGACCCGATCCCAGCCCACCTGCACTGTGGGACATGGACCCACGAGGCCCAGCCCCGATTTTAGGGCTCTAGGGAGACAAGAAGTCATTTCCACGTGCCCACTAGGCAGTTTTATTAATGTGCGGACACAAAATAAAACAAGCTGCCTTGATGACCCAGAGCCTAAGCATCGAACAATGAGGCTGGTGGTGGCTTTGTTTACTGATAGGAGTAAGCCTGACAACAGGCTGAGAGGGCCTCCTTCTGGGAAAGTTTCCTCATGAGCACATGTCTGTGTAAATATGGTTGGTCTCTGCCCAGAAAGGATCAGGGTAAACATAGCTAAGAAGGGGAATTCCACGATTTAATTTTTGGAAACTCCCAAACAAAGGTTTCCATTTGTTTTTGTTTGTTTGCTTGCTTTGGTTCAAACAGCAAGAGAACTATAAGTGTACACTTACCTCGGCATGAAATCCCTTGACCATCAATAATTTGCTTGCAAACCCCACAGACTTTGGCTTTTTTAAAGCCCTTTTTCTTGAAACTGTGCAGACTCGCAGTTAATTCTTCTGGCTGAAAAAGTGAAGGGAGACATCATCAGCTGTACAATTCATAGTTTGTTTGCTTTTCCCTTTTCCCTTTCAGAAGATAATAAATCTAGTGCAGTTTGTCAAGAGCTAAAATAGGACCTTTCCCAGGCAAACTAGAAATGATCCTGCCAACGCTGGGATTCCCAAGGGGTGCCTCGGATACCCTGTCAGCATTCTTAGTGCCAGTGTCCCGGATGAAGCTTATACCCGCCCAGCCTGTAAATCCCCTGGCTGAAGAGAGACAGGAATGCTACACTAATCAACGTTGCTCCTGTGATCATGTATTAGCTTTCAGGCGGGAGGCTTACCAACACCTACTTCCATGACAAAGTAGTCCACACGCATCCCCAGAGTCAACATTTGTTCCTCTGGAAGAAATAATTAGTGAACAGCAAAATTAGGTTTGAAAGAAGCTAACTGACTGTTTTTCCTGTCCCTGGGCTAATGTGCACCTCTGCGGAAGGAGGAGCAGTCGTAAGACCAGCATGATAAGATATGTGGTTCCTCCTGAAGCCTCGTATAGCACTGAATCCATGGCACACATTGGTACTGAGAGGAAGTGAAGCACTCATCTGATAAGTCTTGTCTGTAGAGTCAAGGCTCACAGCTATATCTGATGATCTTGTAAAAATTCAAGTTGCCTTAGAAACCAAATACCAACCCTTACACCCATTTGCTGATACATGACAGTGTATTCTATCAGCAATGGATACCCACACAGACTCACTGAGGCCATCACTCACCATCAAAATAGCTAAATTCACTGACCACATGAGATGTTATCAAGAATGTGAAACAGACGGTACTATTTTGGAAGATGGTTTGACAATTTCTTAGGAATTTTAAAATCTACACCAATCCTGTGACTCAGCATTTCCATTCCTAAGGACAATGATAAGAAATAAATGTATATGTCCAAAAAAGCCTTGTGCAAGGTCATCACTACCTTATTTAAAAGTGCCCAAAACCGGAAATAACCCAAATGTGCATCAACAGAAAACTGGATAAGCAAACCAAAGTATGTCCACACAACAGCATACTGTTCAAGTATACACAAGAACAAGCTTCCAATACACACAACATCACTGCATTATTACGCCAAGTGAAAGAAGTCAGACACAAGAACACACAGTGAGTAATTCTATTTATAGGATGTTCATGAGCAGGCAAACTAATCCATTTAATTCCTCAGAGGCAGAAAAAAATGAGGTGAGTTCTATGATTGCCCCAGATTCCTACATGGAGAAAGTTTCCAGGATGCAAAGAAGGAAGCGGGAGCCAGTGTACAGCCTGGAATTGAGTGGAGGAGCTGAGTCTGGGCACAGCAAGGGAACAGGAGTCCGCTTGCTAAAGTTCTGCAGAACAGAGAGCTGCACAGAGCTCTTGCGGTCTGCAGAAGGGCCCTCTGAAACATTCAACTGAGTACTGATGTGTCGTATGTGAAGCCCCAACCCCAGTGTGACTATACTTGGAAATAGGGATTTTAAAGTGTAACTAAATGAGGCGCAGCGGTGGGGCCCCAGTCCAATAGAACTAGTGTCCTTATAAGAAGAAGAGACTCCAGGGAGGATTGCACACAGAAAACAGTCTATGTGAGGAGACACAGTGAGAAGGCAGCCATCTACAAACCAAGGAGAGGGGCCTCAGGAAGAAAGATAACTGTCAACACCTTGATCTTGGACTTGCAGCCTCCAGAACTGTAAGGAAATAAATTTCTGTTACTTAGGCCACCCAGTCAGTGGTATTTTGTTATGGCAGCCCTAGTAAACTAATATACCCTTCCTCAAAAATTAATAATTTGTATCAATAATTAATCATTTGGTAACTATGTGCATTTCTATTTAACACTATCCTAGAGGTTCTAACTAGTGCAGAAAATAAGCAAGGATACAAAAGACTTGAACAACATTACCAAACAATGTAACTGACAGAACATGTACAGACTTCATAGAACATTATAGAACATCTGACCCCTCAGCAACAGAACACACCTCTTTTCAAGAGCATGTTGAATGTTTTCCAAGGTACACCAAATTCAGGGACACAAAACAAGTCTAAATAAATTTAAAAGCATTCAAGTCATAATAAAGATGTTCGCTGTCCACAAAGGGTTTAAATTAGAAACAAGGAACATAACTATCTCTGTAAAACACCTACAAAAATTGGAAACAAGTAGCACACTTCTGAATAGCCCATGGGATAATACATCGAGGCAAACTAGGAGTTCAAGGTTTGGTTTAACATTGATGTATCAATGAAGAAGCTGAAAAAGAGAACTATACTATATTTCAATTGCTACATTAAATAAGTAAATAAATAAATAAAGCCTCTGGCAAAATCCAACAGCCATTTCTTGATTAAAAACTTTCAGTCTAATAGGAATAGAAAGGGACTTCCACAAATTGATAAAATTATCTATTAAGACCCAAAGTAACACATCATACCTAATGGTGAAAGACTGAATGCTTTCTCAAGATCTGCAACAAGGCCCGGATGTCGGCAATCAACATTTCTATTTAACACTATCCTAGAGGTTCTAACTAGTACAATCAGGCAAGAAAAGGAGGAAATAAAACTGTCTTTAGTCACTGATGGCATCACTGTCTACATAGAAATTCTGATGAAATCTACTACAAAAACGCTTTAGAACTAACAAATGAGTTTGGCACACTTCAAGAACAAAAGATTAATGAGTGTACAACTATTTCTACATACTAGCAATGAACTTTCAGAAACTGAAATTCAATAAACATTATCATTTAAACTAACATAAAAAATATTATATACTTACATCTGACAGAAAATGTGAATACCATGTAAACTAAGAACTACAAAAACTGGGGAAAGAAATTAAAGATCTAATAGATATACTATGTTCATGGATCAGAAGATAATATAAGATGCAATTCTTAGGAGTTGGGGAGGATGAGTGGGGAGAGAGATGGGGATTAAGGGGCACAGGCACAATAATTTGCAATCACAATATAGGCAGGTCACGAGAAAGGAAGTACAACATGGAGAAGACAATTAATGACTGTAACATCCTACTACATTGATAGACAGTGACTGCAGTGGAGGAGGTGAGGATTTGATATGGGTTAATGCTGAAACCACTGTGTTGTTTATGTGAAACCATCACAAGATTGTGTATCAATGATAATTTAATTTAAAAAATAAAAATTAGAAAAATTAAAAAAAAAAGGAAACCCTGTCATTTGCAAAAACATGGATGAAGCTGGAGGATATAAGTGAAATCAGACAGAATGACAAATACTGCATAGTATTACTTATAGGTCAAATCTAAAACAGAAAAAAAATCAACTCATAGAAACAAAGAGTAGAATGGTGGTTGCCAGGAACTCTGGGGAAGGGAAGTGAGGAGAGGCCAGTAAAAGGGTGCAAACTTTCACTTATAAGATGAGTCACAGCATTACATTATAGTGACTATAGTTAACTATATTGTTCTGAATACCTGAAATTTGCTAAGAGAGATCTGAAGCATTCTACCCCTAAACCAAAACAAAATAAAAAGGCAATGTAAGGTGATGGATGTGTTAATCTGATCAATTTGATTGTAGGAATTATTCACAATGTATATGTATGTCAATCATATCTCAATACAACTGGAAAATTTTTTTTTTTTAAAGATGCAATTCTTTCCATATAATCTACAGATTCAATACAATTTCAAACAAAATCCCAGCAGGCTTTTTTTTTAATTGGAAACTGATTCTGAAATTCACATTTAAATGTAAAGCATTTAGGACTGCCAAACAACTTTGAACATTGCATATATTTAAGTGTACAATTTGATGTTTCCTATTATATTTTGAAAATGTGTCTTCAGTGTTAAAACGCAAAACTGAGTTTGAACCAAAGTGTACTCTTGGGATTCTACATAAGTAACAAATATGAGATCTTAAATGAACACCTTAAATCCTAATTTTCAACCAAAAGCTCCCCTGAGATAGATCAAAGGTAGAATAAATACTGAGCACACAGACCACAACTCCTTACTCCCTGACCTATGGCAGACATAACTAATCAATCATGGCTATTGTCCCCAGATGGCCTACAAGCCTTCTCAATGGAAAACTCCACAAGCAATTCCAATGGACTGAATTTGGTGGAGGGCTGATTAAGGACATGCCATTCAAACATTAAAGCATGCTTTGGCCATCTCCATCTTTTCCCTGCCATGTGAACTATTTGAGTGCTCTTACAGTTACACCCAACCCCATGGAAGTGGGGGTCTCAGGAACACTTCCCATTCCAGGAGTCAGGCTGCCTTGATTCTAGACAGGCCTGTGCCTTTCCCGTGCATCCCCTCTGGGCGACAGCTCCTCACCATCTCCGCTCCCTTGAGGGTGAAGCCCAGTTTTCCTTATAAAAGTCAGTGTCTCCTCCCACCTCCTGCCTCAGCTTCCTACTCAGTTGAGAAACTTACAGTGTTCTATCATGACCATTACCAGTCCCACATTTCCCCAAGTCCTTCCTGACCACTCAAGTTCCTCAGCAGTCCTACAGCAGTCTTGTCACCTAATCACTTTTCTCCTGGTGTATTCATGGATCTTATTAAGTCTGCTCAATGAGGAAATGTCCCAAACCAAGCAGAAGCCTTTGCACCAGTTCTGCTACCTGAAGTAGAAAATCTGTGATTCCCAGCAAGTCACAACCTCTCTTCACAGGAAAGGTTACCCTTCCCTTCATGCCTATTAATGGGGCTACTCTAAATGACCACATGCTACGCCAGGTTGCAGTTGTGAACACTGGCATTGTTTTTAAAACAGCTCCACTTAAGTTCCACCCTAAACCATTATCTGGAGGTGGGTCAGAAGACAAATTTTTGTCAAAGTTCCCCCAGGGATTCAAATCCACAGCTGGGAATGAGAGCCACCACTATACAATGACCTATGCTATGTGGATCTATCCCAGGTTCACATAAGGCACTGTATTACAACGTGCATGCTCATTCATTCATTTCTGATTTTTTCAAGAGACTCTATGCTTTTTGATACAATGCCTATCAAAGAGGGATGATGGTACTACTATCATGAAGTTCAGGACACTGGCAGGGCCCTTTGGTGCTGTAACCATGATGATCACTGTTCTACAAACAGGGACAGACAGATGCGAGCCCAAATCCACGCAGCCAACAGGTAAGGGACAGGGGATCAGAGCTGGTGTCCACACAGTCTCACACGCAGGCTAGAGGGCATTCAAGTATCTGACAAACTGGCCCTCAATCCGAATCCCAGAGTCTGCACTTACTTTCGCCTCTCATAATGCAGTTACTTGTTCATGCCCCTTCTCTTCTGTGCTCAACTGCAATTCCCAGAAGCAGGACACCAGGCTGTTAGCCATTTGT